AGGGATCATCCACCCTGGATTCCCTGTATTTCCAGTTCCTATCTGTACCTGTGTACATCCTCTGGTCTAGCTAGACTTGCAAGGTAGAATTCATGTCATGATAGTAGGAGTGGGGTGGGGGAGAACATTTAGGAACTAAAGTTGTATTTTTCATCGTTGCTATTGTTGACTGGTAACCTGTTTTGCTGTGCACCATATTTTACCAAAAACACAATAAAATGCTATTGCTTAAAAAAGAATTATTTCACTTCAATAAATAAGTGACCCCATGGTTAAATCGCCTTTAAAATGAGTTGTGTAATCACAATCAGTTGTAGTGCTCCCTCCCCCATCCTGCCTTCATTGCTTACGCATGAAATCCCCTTACCCGCCCCAACTCCCACTCCCCACCACGCACCTCCCCTACCAACCCGTGCACCAGTTATTTCTATGCATCCACTCCTTCTGTGCTCCACCAACTGATAAACCCAACAGAAAAAACAAACTTCAAAAATGAAACACAGTGGTAAGAATAAAATAATAATAGTATAAAAATACAAATAATGAATAGGAAAGAAAACACCAACAATATTTTTTAAGCCAAGGGAGAAATTTTTGTCATGGAACAAACGAGATACTTGCTCCTAAAACAAATTCATGTTAGGTCAATAGCCAGGTCAACTGACAAAGTATCAAGTTCGATCCAGCATAATCAAGATGACAATGATCTCTGTGTGACAGTAAGGCTGCTTGAGACCCTGGCCTGTGGTTAGAGGGATCTGCCAGTGGCTCAGTCTGACCAGATGCTCTGCAGATGGGTTTTGGGCTCCCACTGTCCTCCATAGCCTTCTACAAATTGGGTGTTCACAATATTAGCTTGAATACTTTTCCCTTCGTCCTATTTGAATTTTATGACTGTCATCTTTGGATCACACAAGCTGGTGTGCTTCTTCCATGTGGACTTAGTTGACTCCAAGCTTAGGTGGCTACTTGTTTGAATACAAGCCTGTAAGGCCCCCAACACTGATAGCCGGGCACCATCTGCTTTCTTCAGCACACTTTGCTGTAGCACCCTTATCTTCAGTGATCATTACATGAGGGTGAGCAGGGCCATGTTATCCGAATTAAGTGTTCATGGATTGACGCTAGAGTTCAGTAGGAGCCCAAACTCTGTTAGCTTGTCCCTGGAATATGCACGACTGAGGTTTACTGTGGTGGTCCTATTGTGACAATTTCAAAGCCCCATAAGATCAACTACCCCAACAGCAGCAACAAACCAACCAGCAAACAAACAAACAAAAAGAAAATGTTCTAAAATTGATTGTGGTAATGATTGTACAATTCCTGATATGACTGAGCTATTGAAGTGTAAAATATGTGGATTATGTGCCAATAAAACTGTTAAAAAAAAAGGGATTGAGTATTCCAAGACAATGGCAGCAGGGCATTAACCAGGCACAGCCAGGCTGTGTGTGTGTGTGTGTGTGTGTGTGTGTGTGTGTGTGTCCCCATCCTAGTCCCTAAGTGGCCACACTGGACACCCCGGATCCAGGCTGTAAACCATCAGCAAAACAAAAGAGGCACCAGTGACCCTCAGATAGACCAGCGAGAAGGCACCTCCACTGGCTTTATCCCAGAAGGATATCTTACAAACTGACAAGTCAACAGAAACACAATGGCGCACGACCGGAGCAGCCAGTGTGGAAGGGTGGGATGGGCACTCACCTCAAACTTCTCTTGTTCCATCCTGTGATGGTCCTCGAGCTGCTGCTCCAGGTAGGTCAGGTTGCGGAATTTCTCCAGATAGACGTCGTACTGCTTCTGCAGCTCTTCCTCAATCTTCTCGTATTCGTCCATAAAGGCGGGCCTAGCCAGGCCCAGGGGAATGAAGAGTGAGAGTCAGTGGGACGGTGTCACCCACACTGGTGCCGAGTCCAACTTCCCGGCCTGGTTTGCCTGGGAAATCCTCTTATCGGAGAAGGTCCCTCCCTTTTGTAATTGCTTAAAGCTAATATCCCTTTCTCTTCCCAGTCTCCACAGGTCCACCTCAGAGATGCCGTGAGTTCCATTCCAGGGCACTGAAGTAAAGCAAACATCCCAATAAAGTGAGTCACAGCATGTTTTCCTTTCCCAGGGCATAGAAAAGCTGTGCTTACACTAGACTGTAGTGGCAGAGTGGGTTATGCATTAGGTGGCTAACCCTCAAGGTCAACTGTTTGAAACTACCAGGGGCTCCACGGGAGAAAGACGAGGCTTTCTACATCCATAAAGGTTTACCATCTCAGAAACCCAGAATCAGCACGGCCTCAAGGGCAGGGCGTTTGAGTGAGGAGAAAGGTTTGCAATATGGGGGAAAGGATACAGAGTGAGCACGTGCTGCTGGGAAAAAACAAGCGCAACAGTTCTGCTGCCGTGCACCTTGCTCATCAGTCACCACTAGGTGAAAGCACTTACCCTGGGCACACACCTGCCCGCTCCTACCCCCAGGAAAGGGCCCACTGCCGCCCAGTCAACTACTCACAGTGACCCTGTACCTAGTGTTTGGTGCAGTGAATCAAATGGGAGCAGACAGCCTCATCTTTCTCCTGCAGTGGCAGGTGGGTTTGAAGGCCCAGCTGTGTGAATAAGCATTTTGATGCTTCCCCTCAAGTGCCACTACAAACTATTGAAAAAAGACTCAAAGTGGGGCTCAGGACTAGCTGCTCCCCAGACACGGGAAAGCAGTACAGAGAATGGCCCCAGCAGGCTGCTGGCTGGAAGGGTGACCAGTGCCTATTCAAGCAGAGAAGGCCTGCGCAGGGTGGTTTCCACTGCTCCCGGGCAAGTGTCCAGGCATTCTGTTCTTTGTCTTTTCCTTGTCTTCACTTCCGAAAGCTCTCACGTACCTGACGCTCTGCAGAGTCTGCAGCCGCTTTCGATTTCTCTCAAGTTCCAGTTTTCGCTTTTCAATTTTGGCTTCTAAATTTGCTTCATCAGAGGCCACGTTATTGAGCAAGTCTTTGGTCTTCTGCACCTGCACCTACATGTAACAGGAAATGGAGACAAACGCTCACGGAAAAAGGACTTCTAAGATAATAGATATTTTCCTCGAATTTTTTTAAAACCTCTTCATACATACACCAGGCATAGCAATACTTAGTCCTACTAAAAACATAAAGAATTATTGCCATCGAGTTGATTTTGACTGAGTGACCACATACAGGACAAAGAGAACTAACTGCCCCTTAAGGTTTCTGAGGCTGTAAATCTTCAGGGCAGCAGACTGCCTTGTCTCTCTCATGGAACAGCCGGTGAGTTTGAACTGCCGACCTCCTGGCTAATATCTCAATGCTTCACCCACAGCACCAGTGGGGCTCCCTCTCTCATTCACACACACAAAGAAGACTTCAAAACGTTCATAAAAAGCTATTAGAAACAGGGAGAAGACGAGCCAGTCAGGGTATGATGTAGCAAGGATGAAAAATACAACTTCCCTTTAGTTACTAAATGCTTCCTCCCTGCCCCCATTATCATGATCTGAATTCTACCTTACAAATCTGACTAGACCAGAGGATGTACACTGGTACAGATAGGAACTGGAAACACAGGGAATCCATGGCGGATGACCCCTTCAGGACCAGTGGTGTGAGTGGCAATACTGGGAGCGTAGAGGGAGAGTGGGTTGGAAAGGGGGAACCAATTACAAGGATCTACATGTGACCTCCTCTCTGGGGAACGGACAACAGAAAAGTGGGTGAAGGGAGACGTTGGACAGGGCAAGATATGACAAAATAATGATTTATAAATTATCAAGGGTTTATGAGGGAGGGGGAGTGGGGAGGGAGGGGGAAAATGAGGAGCTGATGCCAGGGGCTTAGGTGGAGACCAAATGTTTTGAGAATGATGAGGGCAATGAATGTACAAATGTGCTTTACACAATTGATGTATGTATGGCTTGTGATAAGAGTTGTATGAGCCACTAATAAAAAAAAGTTATTAAAAACAAAGTGTTTCTGCCTGCGGCACTCTGGTGGTGCAGGGGTTAGGCGTTGTTAACTGCAAGGTTGACTGTTCAAACTCACCAGCTGCTCCATGGGAGGAAGATGAGGCTGTGTGCTTCAGTAAAATGCTCCAGAGCAGAGATTCTCAGCCGTCCTCATGCTGCGACCCTTTCATACAGTTCCTCATGTTGTAGTGACCCGCAACCATAAAATGATTTTCATTGCTACTTCATCACTGTCATTTTGCTACTGTTCTGAATTGGGTGACCCCTGTGAAAGGGTTGTTCGACCCCAGGTTGAGAACCGCTGCTCTATAGGGTGGCTATGAGTTGAAATCAACTCAATGGCAGTGGGTTTGCAGGGCGGTTTTTTGTTTTTAATTAAAAGATCATTTTGTTGGGGACTCTTCCAGCTCTTTTAACAATCCACATATCAATTGTGTCAAGCATATTTGTACATATGCTGCCATCATTATTTTGTAAACATTTACTTTCTATTGAGCCCTTGGTATCAGCCCCTCTTTTTTCCCTCCCTTCCCCCGGTTCGCGGTTTTGTATGGATATGTTGAAAATCATACATGTATGATTTTTGTGTAGATCAAAGCCCAGTCTTGCTCGTGCCCAATTTACATAGCCTAATTTACCTAATTAACACTTAAATCCCTAACGATGACAGAAGAGTGACTTCGGGCTGGGCAGTGGGCTCCACCTCCCCTGACAAGAACCTGGGGAGTTGGTACTGCCGGGCTCCCCATTTTATGGAGGAGAGTGGGGCACAGAGGGGCCCTGCACACAGTGTGAGCCAACCCCAGGCTGTTTGAGTCTCCAGTTTCTGAGTACTTCCGATGAGCCGAGTGAACACCTGTGATACCTGATCCTGGGCGAGTCGAGGAGGATGGCCGCCTCCTGCATAGTACAGTGATGCTCAAAATGAAGGCACTCCAGAAACCAGTTACACGTCCAGCAGTGAGCAATGCACTAAATCCATTACAAAGAACCCACAAAACAAAACATGCATTGCTAAGAGCACTGAATAATTATTTAAATGGAGAGAATTCCTAAGCGCATGAGAAACTGCTCCTAACAGTAAAGGCAGAGCAAAGTAACCATCCGTCTTACCCACTGCTGTCAGGTCAACTCCAGCTCCTGAGGACCCTTCAGGACAGGCGAGGACCTTGGGGTTTCTGAGACAGGAAATCTCAACAGACAGTCTCATCTTTCTTCCTCTGAGGGGTGACGGAGCTTGAACCACTGGCTTTGTGGTCAGCAGCCCAATGCCCAGCCCATCATGCCACCAGGGCTCCTTAATCTAAACAGTTGGGAATTTTCAAACTGCTACTTAAATTTCTAGAAGAAACCTAACATCCAACTTTCCTAGGCTTCTCACGTCTTCATTTACATCTCCCCTTCTCTAATACGAAACCCTAGCTTGTTCTGTCTTGTGCAGACAAGATATAGTACATTGTTTGAGTCTCAGGCATAAGCATATCAAATGAAAGCAAAGTATACTGGAATCAAGCTGTCAAAAGCAGCGTGAAGGGTTATGGAGACGTTTGGAGGGGCCACTCAGAGCAGGAGAGTGAGAAGGGCTGCCTCGGTTTCACCAGATGGTTTGGTCCTGACAGAAACTATCGAACAACCGCACAATAAATAAAATTTAGAGAAAAACAAAAACAGAACAAAAAGCAATTCCACCTCACCAGAATGTCCTTTATTGCGATCCTCATCACTTTCTCAGTCTCGTTTATTTCCAGAGGTCTGGCGATTGCCTCGGTTCTCAGTTCCTGTGTGAAACAAGCAATGGGTAATGGGAGTTTTCAGAAGAGGCCCCATCAACCCCTGCATTCCCTGGGCCTGGGTGCGGACTGGCTCTCAAGCGGCCCACTTCAGTGAGTAGCTCGGCTGTGCATACACCTGCAGCATCACGCCTGTAAATCCAGACTTGGGTTACCAAGCTACCCTTGCTCCGGAGCTCAGGACTCCCTTCTCAGAGAGGGGTCGGGATGCACGGACCACAGGTCCTAGACAAGACTGACCTTCTGGCCCGTCATCTCTGCCTCCAACTCACCTCTTGGCTTACATTACATTCAGATGACTCCAAACCTAAACACAGACCCAACTTGTTGTCTGAGCCCCTTAAGTCCCTTACTGGTGCTCTGACTCCAGGAACAAAGTCTATGACCCACTAAACCAAGGGGTTATGCCGGTCACAATACCGGAAACTTCTGAGACCCTGTGGTTTTAGGCTGATGCGGTTATGCAGCGCCCGGAGAACTTCTCATCCTCCGCTTGCACATCCTTTCGTCTGTGGTGTCACCTCTCCCACTGGTCATGAGCTCCCTGAGTTTATGAGACTTACGGAAAACGGCCGTGCTTGGTGCTGGTCGTCAGGGAGTGTTTGCTGGGTGTATTAAAGACAATCTTGGGCAGGGCACATGCCCTCAGAGCCTGACAGTTATGGGCATGAGAAGTACTATCATCAGGGCCCCTGACTACCTCAGACACAGCTCAGCCACAATTACTTCCTGACATCCCACAAAGATGCCACCGCTTGAGTGTGAACCAGCAGAGGAGCCGCTCTCTTCTCTGTGAGGACCAAGAGCGGGGCCATGTGCACCTCTGCCCTAGCAACAGAGGACCATGGCACAGCTCCGGTGGTCTTATCAGCTGCCCACACCCGATAGTTCTATTCTGCCACCCAAACCTCACCAGGTCAGCAGGGCAGTGCAGGGAGGGTGATCTGGCACTCAAGTCCTTCCTCTCCACATCCCTTATAAAAAGCCCGAGGAAATATGCCATTGCACCTGCAGCGGTGGTAGAATGCAGGTGCAGCTGTGGGAGTCAGGTGGCGGTCCTGGACTGGCACACCTGAAACTCTAGGGCGTGTTCTGTTCTTTAATCGAAATGACATCATAAACAATGCCCGATTTCTTCTTGAACCCACGGCTCCTGAGCCCCATGGCACGGCGCAGTATGGGAAGCACCTGGAAAGCAGATGCCTGCCTATGAGCCCTAGACATTCAGATTGAGTGGCTTGGGGCAGAAGCTAGAGGCAGGGTTTTGTCAAGCTCCCAGGTGACTCTGCGGGCCTGTGGGTGTGGGGCCATGCTCTTCCACCGAGACCCACACAGAGTACGTGGAGCACGCCTCCTGTCCCATCGACTTGACTCGGGTGGCAAGGGCTGCTTAGAGCTGTCGTCTCCCCCCACTCTGCTCTGAGTTACAATCACCTGGGGAACGTTTGAAATGTCCTCTGCCCAGGTCACTTCCCACTGATGAAGTCAGAGAGGTAGGCACCCATGCTTTTCTTTAAGAAATCTCCATGTGCCACAAGGTTCAGGACCTTGGCTCAGCCGAGTGTTTTGCTGAGAGGCACGGTGAAGTCACGTTCCCTGAGGAAAGACCTCAAGGTCCATTCGGTCTGCCAAGTCTCAGTGGCCAGCAAGCAAATGTACCACAGCAGACCGGGGTCCTGGGAGCGGTGAAGGCAGCTGGCATTGGGAATCACTTTCCCATGGGTTAGCATGTCATGGGGACTGCTTCATCAAACCAGAACAGACAAGGGAGAAACAGAATTAAAACAAGAGAAGACCAGCTGAGCAAAGGAAGGAGCTGTGTCATCAGAAGGCCACCTACCCGCAACTCCACCTCTTTGCCCAGCAGGTCGTACAGGGAGGCACCTTTGGAGGTGATCTCAGAAGCAAGCTGTCTGGCTGCTTTCAGATCTGCAATCTGGAAGACAAACAGGGAAATCAGAGAGTTCGGGGGCAGGCTGGCTATTGGGCATTTAGAAACACAAAGTGCCCCGAGGGAACCAGCCCATCAGAATCAATTCCCATCTTCTGACAAGGTGCTGGCCTACAGAACACATTTGCACAAGGCACATAGGTATGCAAGCCTGGCGGCAGAGTGGTCCTAGGGTCCACGACGAAGAAAGAATTGTCTAAATATGAATGAGATCAATGTCACAAGTCAAAGGAGGATAGGTGCTGATATGTGAGCTGGGTCACAATAAGGTGCTCTGACCACCAGTTAGCTCAGCCAGCAGAGCATGATACCCCTGATCTCATGGTCATGAAGTCAAGCCCCATGTTGGATTTCCTTTTTGGGCTCTGGTGGCGCTGTGGATTAGGTATTGAGCTACTAACCTCAAGGTTGGAAGTTCAAACCCACCACCTGCTCCCTATGATAAAGATGAGGCAGTCTGTTCCTGTAAAGATTTACAGCATAAGAAATCATATGAGGCAGTTTTACTCTGCCTTACAGGGTCACTGTGAGAAGGAATGGTATTGGGCTGAGCCATTTCCCCTTGGGATTAGTCTTGCAAGCCTCACATTTTCATCAACCCCAGCATCAGGTGTGCATCTGTGTAAAGACATCTTCTTTAATACATTGTTGATGCACAAGCAATCAACTCAGAGCCAACAGCACTGCACCTCAGGCCTGAAGGAAGCTAACCAAATACAAATTTTTGTGTCAAATCCACTACAACCTTTGTGCTCAGCCACACCAGACAGTACTCCAGCACTGCTCGTGGGGACCACTGTAAACAGTAACATTGCCAACAAATAGCAGAAGTCTGAAGAAAATGGCCCTTGAGAGGCTTTGGGAAGGCCGCCTGTTGGCAGTGAGAGAGCAGGAAGCTGCCTCGTTTGACCTCAACGGGGAGTGCTCTGAATGGCTAAGATTTGTCACTGCACTGAACCTGTCTGCGTGTGGCCTTGGGAACAACTCATGGCAGTGAGCTGTCATTGTTTTTAAAGTCACTTGCTGATAGGGGCCCATGAGTAAGGAGGATCAAACTCCAGCCGCTTCTCCCCACCTTTCCCACGGGCACGTTAGTCAGAGGCAGCGTCCCCTTCTTGCTTTCCCACTGGCCTCCCGCTTCCTCCCAGATGGCCTACCATTCCGTTTCCTTACCTTTGAGCCAAGATCAAACTTGAACTTGCTGACGTCTTCCTCGCCTATTCTCGAGCTCTCCATCCCTTTGGTCTTCATCGCGTTGTACAGCACAGATGTGATCTTTAGAAGCTCTTTAACCGCGTACCCATCCGCTTGATAGAGCTTCTTAGTGTTGAGTTTTATATGGGCTTTGGTGGCCTATTTTCAGACAAAAATAAAATTGTTTCAAAAGTTTAGGCCACAACTCATGGACCCTCCGAGCCTATGGCCTTTGGTCACCCTTCAGACCTGGAAATGAATTCACCCCATGGTTATTTCTAGCCAAGCAACAGATAAGTGCATAAGAGGAATAATGACACTAGGGAAGTTCAAACTTCTCAGAGCATTCAATCACTGTAGATCAAAATGACATTTGCTCAGGAACAAACTTCAGAAGGCAGGAAAGATCAGGAAAGAAGGTGGAACAGAAACAGGGAACACAGGTAAGAGGCAGGATAAATGATAACAATTACATTGTGGGGTCTTCAAGCAATGACATGATGCAAAATTCGTATCAGCTGTAGAATGGAAAACTGATCTGTTTTGTAAACCTACACCCAAATCACAATGAACAATTTAAAAAGGAAAGGTTAAGGTCATTTCCCTATTACATGTCTAGGATCCCATGTAGGTAACATGAAACTGTCTCTGTCCACAGTCAGGATACAGTCTAATAGTATTAAGAGTCAAATACTCCAAGTGATGCACACATGGCTAGTGGGGGTGTAAATTGGTACAAACGGTGATGTCAAAAGTCACAAATGCACATGCTCTGGGCCCAGCAACTCCAGTCCTTAGGACAACACACACCAACATGAGGGTGGGTATAGATGATGCCGGACACCACTGCTTTAAAGAGCAACAACTGGGAATCCTACACATTGCACAGGTTGTGGTACATCCATACCGGCAAGCCTCCTCAGGCACAAGAGAAGATGGACGACTGTGTGTGACTGATGGGGAGTGTTCTCTAAGGAGAGGACAGCTTCCGGTCTAGAGCACGGCAATGAAGCGAGTCGTGTACTTGGTTTTGGTTCCCCGGTGCATGTAAGTTGAACTAGACTTTAGCCCACGCGTTGCATAATAACATTATGGAAAATCTGAACTACTGTGAGAATTACAATCATGGGATTGAGAGACACAGGCTACTGGAAAAATGCTATCAATGGACTTGATCTAGGATTTCCATAAACCTTCCATTTGGGGGGGAAATGCAATGTTTATCACCCAGTGCAATAAAACAAGGTCTCTCTGTCCTGCTCAGGCACAGGAGAAGGTGAGCGAATTCTTTAAGTATTGACTGGGAAAGCTCTTTAAATACATTGTTAAGTGAAGAAAGATGCTAGCTAGCTGGTGTATATTCTGTTACTATTTCTATCAAAGGAGGACCAATTAGGATATATTTATGTGTGTGTGAGGGAGTTTCAAAAAGTTCTTAGAGAAGCCCACTGCTGCCACCAAAAAGAAGAAAATTCCCTTTGTCATTGTTGTCGTTCACTAGAGAGATTTTGCCCAGAGGCCCACCGACTGAGGTGCTACTGTCCCTTTAATCTTTGCTCCCTGCGGGCAGCTCCCAACCTCTCTGCTGCAACAGGGGGTCAAAGGTCTCCGATCGTATTATCCTTTAATTCCATTTTCCCATAAACTTTTGAAATCCCTTCATAGATGCAAGAAGAAACCCTGGAATGAATTCAAATGGTGAGTACTGAGAATGGAACTGGATTGCAGGCATAAAGGGCAGAGAGGCATTTTACTCTACGTTACTTCAAGAGCTATAGTTTTAGACCATGGAAAGGGATGCCTATTTTAAAAATAAATACTTCAGGAAGTGAAATTCTTAACAATTAGTGGAGGAGAATACGAAGAACTAGGAAACAACATAACAAGAAACGTGTGTCAGTGAAGTGGCTCCATAGAAACCTGGTAACAGAAGGAGTCTAGAAAGAGCCCACTTCACTGGGCCTCCACTCAAGTACTCCCTCAATGCAAGAACACTTTGTTCTATTAACCTGGCATTCCATGATGCTCACCTTCCCAACAAGATTGCTGAAGACAAAGCGGGTGCATAGCAAATATGGTGAAGAAAGCTGATGGTGCCCGGCTATCAAAAGATATGGCGTCTGGGGTCTTAAAGGCTTGAAGATAAACAAGTGGCCATCTAGCTGAGAAGCAACAAAGCCCACATGGAAGAAGTACACCAGCCTGTGTGACCATGAGGTGTCGATGGGATCAGATATTAGGCATCAAAGAACAAAAAAATAATATCATTGTGAATGAGGGGGAGTGTGGAGTGGGGACCCAAAGCCCATCTGTAGGCAACTGGACATCCCCTTACAGGGAATGTCGTGGGGAGGAGATGAGCCAGTCAGGGTGCAGTGTAGCAACGATGAAACATACAACTTTCCTCTAGCTTTTTAATGCTTCCTCCCCCTCACTATCATGATCCCAATTCTACCTTACAAATCCGGCTAGACCAGAGGATGCACACTGGTACAGATGGGAACTGGAAACATAGGGAATCCAAGACAGATGAACCCCTCAGGGCCAGTAGTGAGAGTAGCGATACCGGGAGGGTGCAGAGAAGGTAGGGGCAGAAAGAAGGAACCGATCACAAGGATCAACATATAACCCCCCTCCCTGGGGGATGCACAACAGAAAAGTGGGTGAAAGGAGATATCAATGTCGGACAGTGTAAGACATGACAAAATAATAGTAATAATTTAAAAATTATCAAGGGTTTGTGAGGGAAGAAGAGGTGGTGGAGAGGGGTGGGGGATGTGGAGCTGATAACAAGGGCTCCAGTAAAAAGAAAATGTTTTGAGAATGATGATGGCAACAAATGTACAAATGTGCTTGACACAATGTATGTATGTATGTATGTATGTATGTATGGTGATAAGAGTTGTATGAACCCCCAATAAAATGATTTTTTTTAAAAAGAAGGAGTCCACTCATCCTTTCCTATCTGATTTAACGCCACAAAATAAACAAGGACCAACCATGAACTGGGCAATCGCCTTGATGAAGAAAACACGGTCTTGTTCCGTTTCGATATCAGAAGGGATGTCTGTTTGCGGTTCGTACCTACCGGAAAAAGGACACAAGTCAGTTGGGTAGCTGGTCTACGAGAGGAAGTGGCCAGCGGATACGCAGCAAAAGGCTATGAGAACGAAGCTGAAGCAGTGGGCCTTGGGGACCTCCACAGCAGCATAAAACAGGGCCAAACCCCCAAGGGGAAAATTTCTGCCTAGGAACAGGTTTAAGTAATTTCAAAATCCAAAACAAGGGCCCAACTTAAAAACTGAACCTTTCTCCAATCTCACAGTTTCATTCAAATAATCAGAATAGTCACTCTAGCTGACAACCACCTGCCCAAAAATAAACTCTTGAGTGAATTCATTCACCTTTGGGAGCAGCTGAGTAGTTGATGATCCACCGGGGTCAGCAGACTATGACTGGTATTTGTACAGCCTGCAAGCTAAGCACGGTTTTCACAACTGTAAAGACTGTGCACACCAGCAGACCTTGTTTTATGACGCTTTGCTTGGTTGGACTTTGTAGATACTGCATTTACTACAAATTGAAGGTTGGTGGCAATTTCGCAACAGCACGTGCTCACTGCAGGTTTCAGTGACCCATGTGGATCCCTCTCCTAACATTTCAAATGTTGCCATAATTCTATTACACACTTAACAGACTATAGTCTACTGTTGGCATCACTTTTAGATGCACCAGGAAACAAACAAAAAAAACAGGGCCGGTGACTCGCTTTATTGTAATATTAACGTTATGGTGGTGGTCGGGTACCAAGCTCGAGGTCTGCCTGTACAGAACAACAAAACAAAAACAAAGAAACCGAAAAACACGTGAGACGTATGTAGTCTGCAAAGCTCAAGATATTTACTCTCTGGCCCATGACAGAGAAAGTTTGCTGACCCCTGAATCCTCTTAGATTTTTCACACAAAAGAAATTCTTGTGATTACTAATATGGTGTACTCATTAGCAAAGGTTAGTTCCTCCACTCTGGGTAAGGAGACAGAGCGCCTTGGGTCAGCACCCTGCTGTTTGCTCCCATGGAGAAGTAAGTCATCTCCTTTCAGCCCTATCTGGTGTGTGTTTGCTGCCTCTCCTATGGCGTGCTTGAAAACTTGGCTGGTTTTTAACAAGCTACCACGCAGTCTGTCAAACCCACCTTTCATTGAATGATTCCTTTTAGGTTGCAGCCGCACACCATTTGTAGGTAGCAAATCCACTGGAAGATAAATAGTCTAGTATTCATTCCTCAGAGGGCCCTGGTGGTGTGGTGGGGTGACTCCCTCGGCTGCTAACCGAAAGGTCAGTGGTGTACAAACCACCAGCCCCGCTGGGCGAGAAAGCACCTTCCTGTAAAGATGAGTCTCGAGCACTCTATGGGGCAGGGCTGCTAAGAGTCGGAACTGACTCAATGGCAGTGGGTTCGGTTTGCCTTCTATTCATCCTCGGATTGTAATGAGGGGCAGTTCTAACCTTTTCACCAACCAGATGAGCACTTCAGATACAAGTCCAAAGTTGGGTGTGCGGAAATTCTCCATGGAAATGTGCCGCGGATATCCTAAGGCTCTCATCATCTCCGTGAAATCTGTCCAAGGCAAGAGACAAGCCAGTCAGCCCCTCCTCACACGGTAGCTTTGGTTTCACTAATAAACTCACTTTATTTTCCCTTCAGAATCCCCAACTATTTGCAATTTTAGGGACAACTTATTAACTGTTGGTTGCCGGGGGAGGGATGGAGAAAAAAAGGAGACACAATTTAAATCAAATTTAAATTTAATCAGGTACCAAAATGGCAACAACCAAACAATTATTTAAGTTTAGTGAGAAAAGGAGTGGAACGTATACATTAACCTGGGATTCAGAGATCATGAAACATGAATGTGTATTCATTGTTAGATGGAAAACCAATTTGTTCTGTACAGTGTCATGCACATCACAATAGCCCACTGCCACTGAGTCAATTCTGACTCATGACCACTCTGTAGGACAGAAGAGAACTCCCCCTTTGGGGTTTCTGATATTTTAGGTCTTTACAGAAGTAGGCAAGACTCATCATTCCCCGGTAGAGTGACTGGTGGGTTTGAACCACTGATCTTACAGTTAGCAGCATAATGTCTAACCAGTTATGACATTGGAGCTCCTTAAAATCATAATAAAAAGTTCATTGTTTTTGTTTGTTTTTTTAAATGAGGTTCAAGGTTTGGCTATGAATTTATTTCTTTGATATCTTGTTTTTAGCCCCCAATGGAGTATTAGGAGGTCTGGCCAAGCAGTGGTTAAGTGCTTGGCTACTAATGAAAGGGTCAGTGGTTCAAAGCCACCAGCTGTTCTGAGAGAGAGAGAGAGAGAGAGAGAGAGAGAGAAGGCAGTCAACTTCTATAAGGAGTTATAGCCCTATGGGGCAGTACTACTTTCTCCTACAGGATTACTGTGAGTCAGAATCAACAAACAGCAGTGGAACTGAGAACTGGCCCTCCTTGAATGCCGATGAAGGAGAAAACTGTCTTGCACAATGTCTAGTAGCCAAGTACCTTCAATTCCCACAGAATATAATTCACCAAGACGCTACTAGCTTTACCAATCCAATCTGATGCCTTGTCCTAGATGTTTACCTTGCAGGGAAAAAGAGCAAATCATAACCGAAAGGAACGCTTTCTGATGGGAGAATTTTCCAGCATCAGCAAGCAGATGTGACAATTGGCCTTAACAATGTCGGTCTGATCACACCACATGGTAGCCAGCTGCTCCACCTATGCAGGCAGCACCAGCTAGCAGAAGCACGAGGGTAAGGAAGGAAACACGAAGTCCAGTCTCTCAACTATTCGCTTCACTGGCTCTGCTCGGGTGCACTGAAGCAGTTTACTTCACCACCCTGCCCCTCCAAGAATTTCACCAGAGAACTCTACTGCCCTCCACTGAATGACGTTAACAGCTAGGCACTTCGTGGCCAGCTGAAAGACTAGTGATTTGAACCCACTTGGAAACACCTCAGAAGGCAGATCTGGACATTTGTTTCTGAAAGCTCAGAGCCTTGAAAACCCAATGGGGCACAGTACAGCTCTGTCATGGGCAGGCAACAATTTCCTGGCAAATTCCACCACCACCATCTTCCCTAAGCAGGAGGGGATTTCCAGAAGCTGGTGAGAGAATCCTATTACCTTTTCATTCCATTTTCCCTCCAACTTCCGGAAGTCCCCTTGCACACCTAGCATAGAACGGGCATCCTCCAAAGCACCAAGGAGTCCGTTCCAATTCATGCAACTGCACTCTATAGGGTTGCCAACAGCTGTCATCTTCCAGAAGTCTGATGCCAAACCTTTGTTCGGAGGCACCTGCTGGATGGATTCAAACCACCAGCCAGTTGATTCTTAGACTAGATCCCCTGACACTCCATTCTCCAAAGCAGTCACTGGCCTCCTAAAGTGTCAGAACGTTTTACGAAGGTTTTTCTCTCCGTTGAGTTGCTCTGAGATTTCCAGGCAAGTTACAGGAAAAAATTTCACGTGGCCTTTGCGGCCTTAAGGCTCTTTCCAGAACCGTTTCTTGCATTTTCCTATGTTGAAGATAGCAACAGGAGGCCTAATGGTATAATGGTCACTCGTTAGGCTACCTGTAAGGTCAGCATTCAAGCCACCAGCTGCTTGGAGGGAGAAAGATGAGGCTTTTACTCTGACGGTCTCAGAACCCTATCTGATAGGGTTGCTATGAGTCGGAATCCACTCGCTGGCAACCAAGTATTCAGGTCCCCTTCTTCCCTGGTCCCACCACTGGGTCCCTCGCTCTTCAAACACTGGGTCTTAGGAAGTGCATTTAAATCCCAGCACCCCCTCAGACCCACCTGTGACCAGAACAAGGGTTTTGGCTTAATCACAAGGCACACGTGTGGTCGTGGCACACCTGCAGAACCAACCAACAGGAAAAACTCGGGGAATGTTCGCGGCCCTCCAACCCCCTCCTCACTCGTTCCTTTCTCTCAAGCCCTCAACCAACCCAGCTCAAAGCCAACCTCTGCGACTACCTCCGAGTGACTATCGATACAAACGGATCAAAAGTTATAGGCAGTTCGAAGGCCCGTGGCTCGCAGGGCACGAGCCACGTTTCCAGTGTTCAGGGGCCACCGGCGGCGGATACACAACTCCACCATCGCTGGGGGCTGCCGGCGGCGGGCAACGGGCCGGGAGCAGTCCTCGAGGCAGGAAGAGCCCCCGCACCGCCCGGCGCCCCAGGCTCGAAGGGCTCCCCGGGCTGGGGGTGGAGATGGGGGTATACCACCGGGTGCTTCAGGCCTGAGGGGCGGGCTCGGGGTACCGCCTGGCGCCAGAGGGGGAAGAGGCTCGGGGCAGCGCGGGGCCGGGCCGGGCCGCAGACAGGGCCCCTGCGGGGCGGGCAGGAGCCCCGAGGCACTCGCCCAGCCCAGGGCACGGGGGCTGCCTTACTGCGGAGGTCGCGGAAAGACATGGCGCTCCGGTCGGCAGAAGCCCCCAACTGCTGCTGTAAGCGCGTCGGCACCCGCAGGCCTCGCCTCTCCGGTTTCTATGGCAACCGACCGACGGCAGGCGGCCGAGGCCAAACAGCATGAAAACGCGCGCGCGCACGCGCAGAAGGGACGCCCCGCAGCGAGCGCCGAGGGCTCCGCGCCGGTCCCGGCTGCGTGCTTGTGTGGCTGGGTGCTTTTACTCGGATGTACTGCTTCGGAGGGCAGTGGGTGTGCTTTGAGTAAGGTGACCAGACGTCCCGATTGTTAACAATTTTCCAGCGTCCCGTGGCGTTTTAAAAAAGTCCCGATTGTTACAAGGAACTATATGTGACCTCCTCCCTGGTGAACGGACAACAGAAAAGTGGGTGAAGGGAGACGTCGGACAGGGCAAGATATGACAAAATACCCATTTATAAACTATCAAGGGCTCATGCGGGAAGGGGGAGCGGGGAGGGAGGGGAAAAATGAGGACCTAATGTCGGGGGTTTAAGTGGAGAGAAAATGTTTTGAGAATGATGTACAAATGCGCTTTACACAATTGATGTGTGTATGGATTGCAATAACACTTGTATGAGCCCCTAATAAAATGTTGAAAAAAAAGTCCCGATTTTTGGAAAGAATGCACGACAAGCTAGGGTATACGCTTTTCGGCTGCCATGTGGCTATTTCGCCAGGATATGAGTTTTATCAATGGTGTCCCGCTTTACCAATGTTAAAATCTGGTCACACCTTTGAGGTCTTGACACTTTTGAGCGCCTGTGTGCCTGCCCCCACGCTGTTTACATATTGCAAAGAACGCACTACCATCTCCTGACGCCTGCACAAAGTGGATGGCCACGCCCGCGACCGCCCACGGTCCCTTTCTCGAAGCCCTTTCACTCCGGCCAGAAACCGGTCCGGTCCAAGCGCGTTGTCCTGGCAACGCAGCCACCCACCCCCCACCCCACCCCCGTCCTACACCACACCGCACCCCTCCCCGCTTTAGGTCGTGTGAGAGGCGCTTCCTGAAGGTGGTTGACCCTGGGGGATCGGCTCTGCTAAGTGAAAGAACCCATTTAAATGACAAATCTGGAAAAAAGACAAAATTGGAGAGACAGAAAACAGCAATAGCTGCAGGAAGATTTGGGGGGAGTAACAGAACTCTCCTATATTGTGGGATATAAAAAGACTTTTCCCCAGCTTTGTCTCCCCGAAAGAGATGCCAAACCTAAGAAGCTGTTTGCCAGCACATGGTGGGAGGTCAGATGCTTTGAGATAGTCTCCCTGAAGGCATTCAGCCATCATACTACTGTCTGGTCCACTGTAGGTGGGGCTCACACCCTACTGATAGGATAATGATTGTTTCCCTGGAAAGCTTAGAACTGCTTAAACCTGCTCGGTGACGTCCAAAGTTAGGCTGCCTTCCTGAATCTAGGATCCACCCATCTTGTCACATGTATACCCCCAATCCAATCCCTCCCCTTCCTATTGCATGTACAGCCTTAGATTTCCCCCTCTCATTACTGTATTATCTATAGTACAACCCCTTCCTGTGATGTATGTCTTTACCTGTAATCAGGGGGCTTGCACACCCCCAAAAGATATATAAGCCTCGGTTAGAAATAAATCGCTCTCTCTCCTGTCATTCCCACCTTCCACATCCCCATGTGGACCACCAAGCGGGGCTGCGGTAAGCATGCTACCATGAAATGTGTCTGACTCCTTCATTTTATTTTCTCTCTAATCACTCTTACTCTCTATGATTTTACTATACTCTTTATATATTATAGCTGTACAATTGCGCCTGCCGGGCCTGTGATGATTTGTTAGGGGCCGGCTACCCTGACACTACGTTGTAATGGTGGTTACATGGCAGCAGACCATGGCAGCAGACGTTTGTCCAAACTCAGAACTCCAGCGCAACATTGTATACAGATGCTGAGAACAGACATTAAACTTTTGTTCTCTATGGTAGAGGGAAAGCATACTGCCTTTCACCTTTGAGTAAAATATTACCTAGAAGTCTCCCCCTGTTTTAAAATTTTTATCATGAAGACATAATGACCTATTTCTCATGTAAGAGAGTTCACCCTTGTAAAGTGTTTTTAAGTATTTTCACTAAGTATGAATCCACCACTCGTATTCCAAAACAGCTTCACCCCCTTAGAAAGCAACCTGTCCTCCATTACACCAGCTGCTCCGCAGGAGAAAGAGGAGGCGGTGGCTTCTGTAACTATTTACAGCTTCAGAAACTTTAGGGAGCAGTTCTACTCTTTCCTATAGCTTCCCTACGAGTAGGAATTGACTCAATTGGCAGGGTCTGCCTCTACAATGTCTTTCTACCACTCCCTGCTGGGGACTCCGCGCTGCTCCAGCAGTATCAATCTGGCCTATGAAGACTCACCTCTATTTCTTTGTTCCCATCAACTTCCTTTAGACAGGCCCATTTAAAGGGGCAACTCGAAAGGAACCCAGAGGGCATATTACCGTGCAAAGATGGCCCAACTCAGTCAGTTTCAGCATCAGGCTAAAAACCACACTTGGGCTATCATGTTGATTCCAACTCACAGCGACCTCATAGGACAGAGTAGAACTGCCCCAGTGGGCTTCTGGGACATTGGATCTTGACAAGAGTAGACAGCCTTGTCTTTCTCCTGTGGAGCAACTGGTGGGAGCCCACCTTGTGGTTGGCGGCCCATTGCATAACCCACTACACAACCAGCGCTCCATGGTGTCTGGCATTGGGCAGCTATATTTACAGATTTCCAAATTCAGTAGGAGAAAAAAAAAAAAAAGGCAAAATCTCTTTCAGCATGAGAGTTTTCATTTCCCCCACAGTATGGTTGTGTCTGTTTTGTAAAGCCTGCTTGTGAGATTAAAGGCAAACTAATATACATCAAGTGCTGTGGTAGTTACATAATCTGGTGTCACCTTGAGGCAATTAAGAGTGAAGGGGTGGAGTTTAGCCTGTCAATCGGTCCCAGCGTGATGACCTCATTTGGAGGCGCTAAGAAGATAAATAGCCAGACCCACACTCTGCTTTGTCTTCCTGCTGACAAGTCACTTGGAGCTATGCTGATGGAGCCAGACTGATGGAGCCAGAGCCCTGGATCTGGAGGAGCCACGTAGAGATCCACGCCAGTGCTGAGGTGCTTCTACCACCACTGGATCCACAAGACTTTCCACCCACTGGTCTGTGATCTTCCTGCATTCAGCATCATTGCATGTGTTGCGTGAGTCTGAAGAGGAATGTATAGATTGGTATCAGACATATGGGCCAACATAGGACTTAGGGACTTGATCTGGACTGGGCTGGGATGTTTTCTTAATATACAATTGCTCTTTTATATAAAGCGCTTTCTCGCACACATATGAGTGTCTATGAATTTGTTTCTCTAGTTCACCTGGACTAACACAGGTGCTTTCTGCTTTCCTTTGAGGTAGCCCTGCCCACCTACTCGCAGCATGAATTGACAGGGGTTGTTTGGGTGAAACGTTGGTCAAAATCGCTTTCAAATTGGTACAGATCTTTTGCTTTCTCACAAGTGCTAGGCTGGACCAAGAGAAGAAGAAAGGCTACCTGGTGACTCCCTGATGTGAGTAACTCTGACCGGAGGAGGAGGCTTGGTACCTACCAAACCACAAAGAATTCACAGGCAGTGACTTCTCAGTCATAGGTTTCTCCATCTTCTCTAGAGCTTCCAGGGCGACGAGTGGAGAGTTGTCCTTCTGTGATGGTTAGGGATTAAGTCAACTAGACCCTCCTGGGTAAGGGCAGAACCCAACCTATCAATCTGGTCACAGCCTGATGACACCTGCTTCTTCCGCGCACGTGTGTGTGTGTGACTTTTTGTATAAGAGGGAGACCAAACAAAGTCAGAATCTCTTTGGCTCTTGGCCCTCTGCTGGAGTTGGAACTTGCGTCTGGCTTTTTGATCTCTGGTTGTGTTTGTTGTCTGCCGATCCCAGGAACTGTCAGTGGATTCATTCAGCTGCCCTCAGATTCATCTCAGAATCTGCCTCTGCCTGCCTCTGTCCTTCAGGCTGGCTCTGCTGCATCATCCTGCTTATTCAAGTGACCTCCCTTAAGTCACACAGTTACTCAAGTCCTATCCTTGCTTGAGTTACACCTTTCGTCTTACAGGAGACCAAAGAACAGAGAAGCAGGCAGAGCCAGAAGGCACTGCCATCAAGAGAGAAGAGCCAGGAGTGCTTCCTTTGGACCCAGAGTTCCTGTGCTGAGAACCTCCTAGACTCAGGGGGAAAGATCGAAGGAATGCTGGGCCCACAGATGATAAAGAGAGACCAAGATCTTCCCCTAGAGCTGACAAAGCAAGCCTGCCTTCCCCCAGAGCTGGTGCTCTGAACTGTGGAACCATCCATTTGTCTGCGAAAGACCCCCACTTGTGGTATTTCTGGTAGAGCTACACTAGATAAGTAAGACACAGAGTGAGGCACAGTTCAAAACCTAAGTGACATTCCTCAGTCACCTACAATGGCCTACTAAGCATGCTCAAAGCGCTGACCCAGGTCTGACCCTGAAAACCTATTTTCTGCCCACACTAAGGAAACTGAGGTTCAAATGATTACCCCTAGGGAGTGATTCACAAGCCTATCAGAGCTGAATTTGTGTGTTTAAGGGTTTTTTGTTTTGCATGGCCTGCCTCAAGCCAGAGGGATAAGGGATTTCTGAAGGGCCTGGCCCTTGTCCCTTCCTCCTCCCCTGGCCCTGCTTGCTTGGGACAGCCTCCTCCTGCAAACCACAGGTCCTGTGATGTCATAAAGGGTGGTTGTTATGGAGAACTCTAGCCACCCCCTCCAGGCGAACAGGGTCCTGCAGCACAGGAGGGTGGTGGCTCCTCCCCCACCACTCTGGCCCTCCATGGAAGCCTTGGCCTGTGCATTCTCTGAGCTGCGCATAAGAGAAGGTGCTGGGCTTCAGGGAGGAGAGGCAGGCAGAGACAAGTTCTCCAGACCTGACCTGGGCCCAAAGCCGGCAGGGTGGCCTGAGGGACGTGCATGCTTAGGAGAAGGGGAGGGCCAGGATGTGTGAACCCTGAGATGTCGCCTTCCTTCTGAGCCCCTGGGCGATGCCTGTGGCAGGGCCAGCATGCTCCTTCTAGGGTGGGGGCAACAGGAGGTGGAGGCCTGAAAGGGGTCTTAGGACGAAGGGCTCATCTTTCTTAGGCTTTAGACCCCACTGCAGCCTCAGAGGGACCAGGAACAGCATGAGAGAAAAAGGAGAAAGGGAAGGTGTGCGTGCGTGCGTGTGTGTGTG